CTCTTGACACTAAATTTATTCGTATAATGTATATCGATGTAGAACATGAATGTTGATATTTATGTTATATTGACATTGTCATTGTACATTTATATATCTTTTGTTTCAATGTGTTCAATGGTGGTGAATAAATATATTCAATTCATTTCAATTAAATTCAATTAAATTCAATTTCATCTACTAACATGACGAAGAGACCATGTTCAAGACCAACTCCTACATGGAACGAAGTATCATTTCTATACACCTTATATTGAGAGATTTAACTTTTAGGTAGATTATATATTCTGGAACAGGCATGAAACTGATCATTCAGAATAGAATAATTTGCTCTCAGTGTATCTTCCGTTTATTCAGCTTATCTATGTTAGTAAGAAATATTGTGTTGTATTCGTTGACTTTGTATGTAAGTGGTGAATAAATTCAATTCAATTCAATTCAAAAATCAACCAAATAATTATCGTAATAAAAGGCAGTATCTTGATCTTCTCTTACATAGCAAATAAGGAACCCCTTTAAAGAGATAGATGATTAGAAAGAAGATAAATAAATACAAAATATAGTAATGAAAGATTGAGGCAGAGGGAAGGGGGGGGAATTGACATTTTGAAGAGGGTTTTTACAACCCCATCCCAATTTGCAGTAAACACACTTGTGACGTTAGAAATGACGATTAAGTGGAAGAGGAGTGGTTAAGGGGAGTATGTAAGGGAGGGGAGGGATGGGAGAGGAGAAATTGGCAGGAAAGGATAACAAATACAAAGTATGTGTGGATATAAGCAGGTTAACATGTTTTTTGTTGTTGACGAAAACGATTTGTTCCCGAAGGCAAAGTACAATACTAAGCACAGGAGCTAAGCCTATGGAAGAGAAAATTAAGTTCAAGCCATATGTATTTAATTTTGATGCCATTTCACCATTAAAATGTGTGATCATAACCGTAAGCATGGACGTTTCATTCCCTCAATTCCCTATTTAATTCATAAAAAGCAATATTTACCAATGGACAGGCGCATTACAATGACAAAGGTACATTTCAAAACGTACTTCTGTTCCATACTCTGTGCTAAAAAAGGAAAGAAAGTGATGATTCAGATTAGATTCAGATTCAGATTTTATTTCCGTTTCAAAACAAACAAAATATAAACAGACATAATATAATACAGTCAAATATAATATAAACAAAGTAAATTCAGTATTATGTAGAACAAAATTTAGTTGATAAGAAATATTGGGAAAAAACAGTACTGAACAATAGAAAAAAAAAATGACCTTAATGAAGTAATTCAAAACGGAGGGGCTTGCTAAAAAAGCATTTTACCATACAAGTTCAGATTTATGTTAGACTTTATGAATGTATTCTTAATAGGTTTTTGCAAAATATGTAACTATTCAAATGGTTCAAATCTTTGAAATCCTAGGTTTTAAAAAAGTGCCGAATGTGAGGGTAATCATGAATCTAACCAGATTTTGACAATTATATACATGGATAATGTGTTGTCCAAGGAAATGCCCTATACTTTCTGTTTGAATAAGAATGAAAGCACTGTTTATCCAAGCTTTACCTAATAGTCACAATAGGCATAATGATTGAGTTAAACATCTTTAAAGAGCGAATATTTCGTCAAATACTACTCACCGGTTTGGTAGAAAAGACAACAAAGCCTCGTATAAGTTATCGATTTTGATCTGACTAACAGATGTGGTAGTATCCAGAAAAGGATAAAATTAAAAAGAACAAAATGGCTAAGAAGATTCTAAGAACTGTTGAGCTCCCGAACGTCCATGATATCCAAGCCAATAGATTATACTATCACTGCAGCGGGTGCATAAATCTTGTTGTGTTTGGCGACGAACGATATTGATACTAATAGGTGAATAGAGAGGAGCTGCTAGAAGAATAGTCGCAATGAAATCATCTGATTGGTGCGTTAAAACAACCAATAGTCTGTCGATATAACAGCGTCAATACCATATCAACGATACGTTACTATAGTTACACGTTACCAGGCGCAGTACGCAGGGGGGGGGGGGGGAGGTTGAGGGTTGAACCCCCCCCCCTCTTGAACTTTTTTAATGTGTGTGTTTTTTTAACAAACCCCCCCCCCCCCCTTTTTATATATATTTTTTTTTAAATTTTGATAATAATAATTATTAAAAAATAATAATAATAATAAAAACATGGTAATGGGTGACCCCAAAAAGCTGACCTTACCCCTCCCCCCAACGAAACGAAATATCGATCGGCCAAATTTTTAAATTTTGGGACACACAAAACAAAAAAATGTCCTCTGGTATGGTACATAGAGCCAATTCATTGCGTTGTGAGAATTTACATTCACCTAAAATGTAATACAATTGTAATAATGTAGTTGGGAGAATTAAGGAATCGATCAGATCAGTTTTCCCCAATTTATATCATTAATAACGGTCTGTTTCTTTCACTCAAACTTTCAGATTATCTTTAATTGTACATCTAGCATTGAATTCACTACCTTAGCACCACTTTATCTCATCTTAACAATGTTACCAAGTCTCTTTAAGGGAAAACAAAATAAATTCTCGTCAGTCATTGTCAGTATATAAAATGAAAATAGTCCAGTGGAGAAAAAACAGCAGCAACAATGAACGCCAGGGCGTTTAATGTTTTTTTTCAAAATAGCTTTTCGGGAAACATTCGGGTGTGACAATGAGCATCTATTATTCTTTTCGTATTTTAATCCGAATAGTATGCAATGTATGGAACTTCATAAAATCCTAGATTCGTGTGGTTTTCCATAATTCTAAATAGCCTACACCATAGAGCAAAGAGAGATTTGGGAGGGGTAATGCATAGATGTAGGGCTTCCTTATTTTTTCATGACGGAAAAATGCGAGCGAACGGAATAAATGCTCTTCTGGGTGGGGGCGGGATATAATTTGAAAATATTAGAAGTTGTTTTAAAAATGTGATCAGGGAAAGGACAATCAAAGAAAAATTGTCATATGACTGAATAGTTCTCTTTTCCCTCCTGGATTCTCCGTTGTCAAGTCCCAAATTTACAATGATACAATATACAAAAGGTTAAAAACGTCACCAAAAAACAAAACAAAAAAAGACACTTAAAAATAAATAGGGTCGCTTTTACATGAAATGAAAAACCGCTTCTGATAAGTTTGTCCGAAGACATTTAAACAGCTCCATTGCCGTTTGACGATTTGTTATAAGAAGTTGGACTATTGACAGTGTGTTTTACTTTTCTTTCTGGATTGGTGAGGTGCAGTTTATAGAATACTTAAAGAGAATATACGAAAAAGGTTAATAACGGCACCTTGATGCTCAGAAAAAAAAAGAAGAAAAAACATTGAATAGAGGGAGAGAGAGAGAGAGAGAGCATTGTCAGGCGCAGATCCACGGGGGGGGGGGGCCTGGCTATTTTTCCCCCTTTTTTTTTAAATAATGAGCGATATTGTTCGGCGCGACTTTCTCATTTTCGGGGTCAAATACGAAAAACAAAATTATGCTCACTAGTCACTACGCCCCCCCCCCCCCCCCCCCCCACTGAGCGAAATATTGGTCGGCGCGATTTTCACATTTTAGCCCCCCCCCCCCCCCCTTATCGACAAATCCTGGATCCGCCACTAGGCATAGTAACCATTCCTGTGCCCAGATTCGGACACCCTGCGAATAGGGCAATGTACTAATAGATGATGATTTCAAATTAATTGAGTAAATCCAAACGTGTTGTTTTCACGTTTTCTCGTTGGTCATTTTGATAGCGATTATAAATAATCGTGCCCGTGTCTGTGCCCAGACACCCTGCGAATACCAACCTAATCTTCGTGCATAAGGGCAATGTACTAATAGATGATGATTTCAAATTGATTGAGCAAATCCAAACGTATTTTTTCACGTTTTCTCGTATGTCTTTTTGATAACGATTATAAATAAGAAAGTGAACCGTGATGAGTGTAAAGCTTTGAAGAGGAAGCTTTTGTTGGTGATGATTATTTTTTTTCAAACTTGAATTTTTAGCAATTTGCTGTTTATTGTAACACTACCAAAGAGGCAATTTTTGTGAATAATAGGATGAGTGTGATGTTTTTACCGTCGCTATGGTGACGAGGAAATGAAGGTTGCGTGCCCTTCGATTCAGAGAGTGGGAAAATCCACCGTAGAAAAGGTGTTCCAGTTTGAGAGAGCCACGCCAAATTGACTATTCCTTAATTTTGGATGGTATGTGTGTGTGTGTGTGTGTGTGTGCGTGTGCGTGCGTGCGTGCGTGTGTGTTTGTGTGTGTGCGTGCGTGTGTGTTAGTGTGTGTGCGTGCGTGTGTGTGTGCGTGTGTCTGTAGATGGGATGGAGATTGCGTACTAAAAAATTCCGGTTGACAAAATTAATGTGGAATTTTTAAAGCAAAGAGACATGATATTTTTTGTGTGCGTGATAACTTGTCGGCATATTCGGTTCAGCCACTATAATTTAAAATCATCTGGCCGCCCCACCCTTCACCCTGAAAGGGTAAAATATATGATGGCAATAACACCTTCCAGAAAGAAGAAAAAAGCCTTTAAAAAAAAGAAGAATTACAAAAACACAAGAGTAGAGCTATATAGGTCAAGGGGTGGGGATGGGTAGCATAGTTGTTTCTATTTGAAGAGGATGTAATTATGCAGGAGAAGACGCTTTAAGCGATTTGATTTGATTATCAAGTTTACTAGATACTGCATAAATCATTGATTAAACAACATTGATTAAACAACAGGGAAACAGCATACTCTTTTGGAGAAAATCATGATTACAGCACTGAAATTTAAAAGACTGTCATCTAAATATTTAGATTGCGAAAGTGTTCCTTTATTTTACTTCTTAATTCGATAATTAGATGAAATGGGTTAAGATGACTGAGACAATGGAACGATTTCATTCTTTTATTCAATCAATTGGACACACAATTGACCAAAGATACTTTTGTGGTTTGTTAAAGTTTTTGTTTTCATATCATTACGCCCCCTCGCAGGTTTGATTTGAATGATCCAGAATTCAACGACTTGATCTCGAGAACTCACAGTGCGCTGTCAACCATCTCGTTTTTCTCCTTGGGCCACCTTTTCCCTTTTCTCCTCGAGACGCCCCTATACTCCGAATTCCGAAATCTCATCTCCTCCCTCAAAACCTTGGTAGCAGACATGGTCGATGAACACGGAAAGACCCTCGATGACCAGCATATCCGGGATATCATAGATCTCTACATCTTGGAAATTCGAGAGCAGAAAAAACGTGGAGATGAGATTGTGTTCGATGAGACAACGGTGTGGCGTGGGATCTTTGACATGATTTCGGCGGGTACGGGGACCACGAGTACTACTTTGCTGTGGGGAATTCTTTTGATGGCAGCACATCCAGATGCCATGGAGCAGGTGCAAACAAAATATATTTACTGATGTTATTCGTATAGAAATTATTACTATTAGGTAAATAAGTGATGGGATCGGGGAACGGAAACAGTTTCGATCAAAATCATATATTGACAAACCATTCTGGCTCGTTTTACTACACCAGGGGTGTTTCACGAAGACTGAGATCGACTTTAAGTTGAACTTAACTATGGCAGGTTATTCTTGCCACTGTTTACTAGCATTGGTCTCTCAAGAGACGTACAAATTATGGCACAAACCTACAGAATGTACATTTTTCGATAATGCATTATTGAAGGAAAAAATATTATCTAAAGATAATAATGGTGAAAGCGAATGGCCTGCCATTGTTAAATACAACTTAAATAAAGTCGATTTAGTCTTTGTATCGTGAAACACTCCTGAGTTAGCAGACATCCCATAGGAACGTATATTAATAATGTTATGACACATGCTTCGTCGACTTATGACGGTTTAAAAAAAAAAGGACATAGGTAATTCAATCCTGTATGACGGTCCCTTTTAAAGCAATTGAAATCAATATGATAATTGACAATTAACAAAACTATTCACAAATTTGAACAAAATTTATGTGTATGATTATATCAGGGCATGTGAGTTAAAGTCTCACCTCCCTGATTATATTGAGAAGATCTATTTTGTCGGTAAAGCTGAATTATCTGTTTCTAAAGAGGCTATCCCTTTTATCATTATATCCACCCTTCAATTGCTAATGCTCATTGACTAGTTAAAGTTAAGACATTTTCCCTCTATACTCTGTCACACAGTAGTCCTTAAGGTTGGACTAAAAAACGACCCTTTTTCATGAGTGGCTTGTGAGTTTGTGACAATATGATTTATCATTAATTGGTATGGTTTATATCTCCTCGTAACGTTATTAATCAATCTGAAGAGTCATAGCATTAAAATAGATAATAACCTTTATCAAGAATGAATTATATTGTCATAATCATAACATGAAAAGAAGGAAGAATAAAACTGTAAGGACAACACGGGACAACAGTGTAGTATTATCACTTGAATATTCTCCTGTCAAAATTCCAGGTTCAAAACGAGATCGATCGCGTTATCGGAGATCATCGCCCACCGTCGATGTCGGACAGAGAAGATTTGCCGCTCACGATGGCCACGATCATGGAAGTCCAGAGATTCCGTCCGGTGTCACCTCTTGGCTTTCCCAGATTCACCAACAAGGATGCCGAAGTCCAGGGGTACTCCATTCCCAAAGGAACAGGTCAGCGGTGCATACAAATGCCCCCTCTGTTTTTGGCGGCCTAAAAGATTGAAAGAGGGAGAAAGAGAGGAAGAGAGAGATAGAGAGAGAGACCGCGCACGATGGGCGAAAAAGGATAAAAGAAAAAGAAAAGAAGGCACAAGAAACGTAAAGAAGAAAAGCAGAGAGAGAAAGAGAGGAAAACAAATATATAAATAAAATCGCTTCCCTGACGAAAGAGGGGCTGAATGAATATTTAGGAGAAAATTATCATTTGTATTGCTCGTCATCTTAAAGGTTCTAAATGCCTTTTTAAAAATCAATAGCTTTTGGAGGCTACGCCCTCCTGGACACCGGCATAGGCTCTGGCACAGCATGTCACCATTCCCCCGATGGTTGGCTCCTGGACCCCATCCGTAAAGATTGAAGTGGTTTAAAAGATAACCCTTTGTTTCATAAAATTGATCCTGGGAGAGAGTGTGTAATTAAAGAGAGAGATTACTGAGTTGAGTGAGTTCCAACGAAATAAACCAATAGGGGCATTGCAAATTTCAAGGGTTAGATTAGAGTTAATATCACTCCAGCGCCTATCTTGAAGGTTCTTAATTGCTAAAACTTGAGAACGTCTCCACTCCCTGAGGAGCATTCTAGCTATGGACGCCTTCTTTACGGGCTCGCACATGATAATCTAATCACAATTACAATGATATATTAATGATTGATCATTATAATGAAAATAATCAGGGGCGGATACAGGCTTATTAGACGGGGGGGGGGGGGGCAATTATTTTCGACATTAACATTTCCCGATTTGGATTCACCTAGCTGTCATCACCGGTAGGGAAGAAGTGAGAAAAGTATTTTTTCCTTTTTTAAAAACAATTTCAAACAGTTTGTCAGTAGAGGGCTCCCGTGCATCATTCAGAACAGAGTCCATTGATAAGGAGAGATTTATATTATCCGGTTTTATATAGTTGGTTTACATTGTGGCGAATGACGGACTGAAAGTTGGCAGTTTGACTGTCTCGACCATGCACTTGTACAGAGTTTGTTTACAGAATAGCTACTGGATGGCTGACATGAGTAAAATTGGCGTAACATTCATTAGCGGAGGCTTCGTGGTAGAGTGTTCCATTCATCTGACTCTTAATCCAAAGGTTGAGGGTTCGAATCCCAGCCCAGCGCTAATGTCCGTTAGCAAGATATTAATCCACATTTGCCACTCTCCATCCTGGTATTGAATGGGTACCCAGTATGATGGGAATGCCATTGATGTTTACCAGGAAGTTGATAAAGAAGGAGTGGAATAAAGCCGCTCTCCTTTGACCCAATGCTCCAAGCCGCCGCAAAGTTATGCGTTAATCTGTAACTGTTGAGCAGGTGGTGATATAAAAGAGCGCATGAAATATCAGGATTTAGAATTCCTAAATCAGAAAATGGTATCCCAGCAAATGTTCGCTGATTTCTCATCAATTGTTGAATGTGTAATGAGTAGAACAAGCGAACACAAACTTGAGTAATTTCATTCTTTTTCCAATTGCAAATATACAAAAAAAAACACGCGAAAACAAGCATTAGTAAACTTAAAGTTATCGAAGATTGTAAATCATAGATTAAATGACGGGTCATTTACACATGCAAAAATAAGCGCATTATCCTAAAATATTGGGTTTTTGTCAGGATCTAATTTTTCTTTTACCTTCTCTGGCCCACATATTATAAGAAGGGCGGACTACTACATTTGAAAAATTGTTTGATGCACTATTCCCAGTACAATCTCCATATAAAGTTTATAATTTACAGTTAAATTTTGCCGGTAATTTAATATTATCATCATTATTATACATGTAATAAATCATCTTATTCTATGTACCAACAAATCTTCATGCATACTCTCTGTTGCTTTTCATTTTGCAGCTGCTATCGTGAATATTTGGGAGCTCATGCACAGTACGAAGTATTGGGAGGAGCCTGACAAGTTCAAACCTTCACGATTTCTGAGCGATGATGGAAGAAGCATCATCAAGCCGGATGCATTCATTCCATTTGGAATAGGTAGGTAGTAAAACATCTATTCGTTGCTAAAGGTACAACGAATCTGCGCAAGTGCGATTACAATAACCATAAGCAGGTGAGGGCTCAAGGCATGTTTGTACAATGAATGACAGAAGTCAGTATTTATCAGATTAAATTATGGGTGTTTGGTAGTTCTAATTAGCATCGGCGAGTGAGTAATTTTGTTCGATGTTCTTATTCTATTTCGTACTCTCTCCCAATTTCGACCCTTTCTACTCTAACAAATAACGAAATATGACAGAAGAGTGTGCTTACTAACGTAATGCATTGATCTTTATCCTCGATTTGACGTCACTTTCCCACACATCGACAATAGTCTTGAGTCTAGCTTTATTTGGTTAATCCGTATTCTCTTTATCTATACGTATGACCGCTCATCACTCCGATTTCGATTGTTTCGAAGAAGACTGAGAATTCTGTGTCTCTCTAGTCTTTTATCATTTTTTTGTCATACCGTTCAAACTTCCTATTTAATACGTGCGTCAAGTACCTTAGTTCAAAACGGGACAGTAAGACCTAGAAGAAGCCAGGCATAACCTATAATATTATTTTATAACATTTTTATATAAAAAAAATTGATGATACTTTCCTGGGTAATTAAAATCGTTATTTCGTTTTTTTTAAATGATATTCAAGTAACTTAAACACAGTATTGACATCATTACTTTTATTTACTCAGGGAGTCGTGTGTGCTTGGGAGAGATATTGGCCAAGATGGACGTCTTCTTGACCTTCACTTTTCTCCTTCAAAGATTCACCTTTCGCTTGCCTGAGGATTCCCCGACAAACAGTGAGGGCATACCTGGTATTTCATTCAGACCGCATGATTTTCTGATCAGGGCAGAGAAAAGAGTGTGAATGTCATTTTCTTCACTGATTTCTTCTTCATTCCTTCATAATTGTCTATATATCTCTTGCCCTCTCTCTCCCTCTCTCTCTCTCTCTCTCTCGCTCTCTCTCTCTCTCTCTCTCATTCAATATCTTATACTTTCTCTGAATATTACTCCCTTTCTATATCCCTATCCTCCTTTTGCTTTTATTTGTTCTTTCCATCACGTGTTTTGTGAATGATGTAACCATATGGTCACATGTCATTTTACGTACAGGATAGTAATCTATATTTTAACATAGAAATAAGAAATTTACTCAAAATGTGTATATAGATAATGCAGATGTATGTAAAAATAATTATCCACCAGTTAATACATGAAATGAAATAATAAAAGCATGAATCAATACATAATACCTTTATAGTTTCCTTTATGTATATATATGTATATATGATGTAAGCATGATCCATCAATGAGGAAGAATAAAGACAAAATATGAAATTTCTAAAGAAGCACAAATATCAATTTACTTGGTGGTTACTTGCTAGATACATATGGAATAATTGACTAGTTTGCAATGAAAGGCAGCTTCTTTCAAGATCTATTGAGTGCTTCTCAAGTCCACAATGTTTGGACCGACATGGAATTTTAAATCGTTATCCAATAATCCATTAAGCTAGGCTAAGTAAGGTTCATGCTTCAAGAAGATCGCGTATAGGCTTTAATCCATCTACCGGTACTTTGAAATTAATGGGACGGATTACATTCGTTATTACAAGGGTTGTATAAAAACATATATGCACAAATTATATTAAGGGTTCATTCATGACTATAAAGGGCACATTTTCTTTTTGTTGTTGTTGTTGTTTTACATAGCAAATAGGAGTCGAGCTCGCAAGATACGTCACAGAGTAAACAATTTGGGTTTAATTGATCGCAACTTCAAAAACTTTCACATTTTAAATCAAAATTTACTTAAACTTGCATTGACCGTTCCTCTCATTTTCTGCTTCATATTAAAACCAATTTAATATTAGAGTGTACTTCCCCTTTAAGAAAATCTGATAAAGAGGTAGGACAAATGCAACCACTTGAAATAGAATTAAGATGCACGACCAGCATCAACTTATCAATGACATTTGTCACTATACATTTTCGTTTCTTTGTTGTTGTTTTTTCTTCTTCCAACTGCACAGTTGTTCTTGTTATATCAGGGCTAACAAACCAAGGAAAATCATTAGAAATCAAATAATGATATAATGGAATTCCCTTGCTATAACGAATCTGTTATAACAGTGTTCTTGATAATGGTGTATGTATCTTCATGCAAGAGGTATGACTTGCCAGGCTTCTAGAATAAAGAGTTTTCAATAATATTAAACAACTATGGGTTTTTGGACGTTTTATTTGAGATGAGAGAGAATGTATATTTTTGTTTGTGTGTGTGTGGTTTTTCAGTATCAGAGACCGACTGCACAGTCTACATTTCAATGACAAAATAACATCTTCGGAAGGATTCAGATTCTGTAACGTGTATTTTTTGTGGGCAGCGGCTCTGCTATTCGACCATGTCTTGCACATAGCATGGAATGCCCGTTGCACACGAGGTGTCTTTAAAGATTGTAGGGCCATGTCATGGTGCGGCGTTTGACACGCCTTGCGAGATTGGTCTCAAGCAAATAGAAATGGAGATATGGCATAGAATTTTTGTGTAATCTTCTTTGATATGAAAGCCCTTCAATGTTCTGTTTGTTTAAAGTAATGCTTGCATTTCCATAATTTCGTTAAACGAATCCGTTCCACTGGCTGCCTGCCCTAACAACAAAGAAGACGAAAGACATCATGCAGACTTTACAATCAGCCATGTATAAAGTCTTTTTTTAAAACTTTGTTGCTACGGCAGGCAGCCGGTAAAAACGAATTCGTTTAATAAAATTATGGAAATGCAAGCATTACATTAAACAAACAGAATTCTGTTATTCCTGGCAAATTTTTACCTGATTGAGGTGTTATATGAAAGTGCAGAAAACGAATTTTCATTAAAAAAATGACACTTTTAACCTGCTAGAATCAACCAATATAATGTTGGATCCAGCATGCTCAAAGTGTTAATCTACCATTTTGAAAAAGTGGTCACTCCTCGGCCCTTTTAAATAGTGATTTAACATTTCATTTTTGTAATATTTCGACTATGAGGGCATTTCAATTGAGAGCCACCCTTTTCAGGGAAATTTTCTATGATACCCTTCCACTCTTACATAAGAAGAATGAAGAGGCTCACAATTTATTTCCACCTTTTCAAGAATTCAATTTTCTCTTTAATCAGTGCAGGCCTACCAAATATTGACAATTTGTTGTAAAGGGATCCGGTAACTTTATCTCAGATTCTGAAACAAAAATCCTGTATTTAGTTCATGCTGCAATGATAATTATAAACCTTTAGGTCAGTCAGGAACCCCATGACTTCTACAAGCCGATCGTCTGTCTGATTAAGAAGATATTTATGACTGGAAATCGAAACCAAATGTTGCGTTTTCCTAACGGTTTTCATAACACTTCAGTCTGTTGGGAAAAACGAATAAAACCGGTCACAGATTTCGACTTTTTTGAGGCACTTATTGATCATTTTGAAGCGCAATTTTGTTCGGGCTTCAATATTACACCATAACACAGACACTGATAACACGTAGAGCCGTGCATCTCAGATTTAATATTGTTAAACGAGGCTTTTAAGCATGATATACGCCATCGCAGGAACCATCGGTGCGTAATAATCTCCATTACCGAATGTTTTCAGCTTCTTGTACAGGACTCGGGCTAGGTTTCCTATTCGTGTTTACTGAAGCAATGTAAGCCATTGGTGAGATGGAATGTAGAAAAGTTCTATTCCTAAACAATGCTCCGATTTCGTAGTGTCTATACCGTCTTAAGAACACCAAGGTTTGGTACCATTTACGTATACGTAGTTCATCTAGATGTATGCATAGACGTATCTCCGACTATAGTGAGCTAGGTTAAATTGTACAATCGAATGTGCTGCATTGCAGGACGATTTGGCGGACATCTGCTTCGTTGAATTCCCAAGACTCTACGTGGAATACAATTTCCCTGCCGTGTAAAATCTACTGGAATCGTTAAATATTTTGATTTTGTATCGATCTCGCCAGTTTATGTTGTCAGCGACATTGGTCTGTTGTAGTTTTTTTTTCGCGCTGTAGCCAATACGGCTTGGAACTGAATCTCTGTTACATGATCTTCTTCTTCGGGTCATCATTTTTACTTGCACCATATAATACTTTGGCCCATATTCGCACAAGCCGTCCACCGTCGGAGGCATAACCCTTGTCTAGATGCTGAACAGGCTTTGACCAGTAGCAGAATAGAAGTAGAAGTAGAACTTAGAAGTTACATCTGCCTCGACCTTCAGATTTGAAGATTCTTGCAGATTGCTGACTCAGTGTGTGTGGGAATAGCTGGGTTCGGGTGCACCGTGCATAGAAGACGCCGCACCGACAGAAGCAGTACACCCAAGAAAGGGCCAACAAATATGAGAGGTTGCCGAAATCGAAGAGTGATGAACCTGAACTTATCACGAAAGAAGTCAGTGGCCTTGTTGATCGTGATAGTGCATTTACTAATCGTACTTTTTGGAAAATGGGAACAGCATGTACGTATTTTTCCTTTTCCAGTCCTAGAGCAAAAATCGAAACCACCGACTCAACAAGTAATGCAATGCAATGACACCTACAGTACCAAATTGATGCCAGCGGGAACGTTCCCGCTCGTAGCTCTTGCAAGTTTTCCCGGCTCGGGAAACGAGTGGGTGAGGAACATGATCGAAAGAGCCACTGGCTATGCGACAGGTAGTGTCTACCACATCCAGAGCTATGAAAAAGGTAATGATTATCCGAGTTTATGTTCAGTTTTTAATCGTTTGTTTTTTCAAACACAATAAGTGGTACAATTACAAATTCGAAATGCTTATTTACACGTCAAAGTTTATCGTGCTTTGAGTTTTTTGTCCACCACATTTATTTGGTAGTAGACTGTTTTCGAATTCTTAGGGAACAATTTTCGTTTAATATACTTATTGAATTTTGATACAACTCTGTTACGTTTTTCCACTGTCTCTCATTATTGTCTTCCTGGAGTTGCAGAATGCTCACATGCCTTGTTTACTTGTCATAGGTAATCATCAGTTCATCATATCAACGTTCACAATCTGGATAATATTACACCTAAAGCAACCATAAAATCTAAAACTGTCATTCTGACAAAAAAGCAAAATATACAATAATTCGGGAAAAGCCTGCCAAGCTACTAGCAAAAAAACCCGGCTTTTATTTCATGGGTTTTCACAACACTCTTCGAAATTACTGCCCTAACCCGACTACTGATCGCGGGGTTAAACACAAATTGGGCTATGTTTCCTATCGCTAAAAGCATATCATATTTACAAGTATTACAACTTAATCCTGTTTCTTTTAGGAAGATAACAAACTATAGGTTAAATTTATGTATTTAACGTCTATAAAAGATGCTAGTATGCGTGTAGTGGAAGGCTAGAATGAATTTTCTCATTCACCGCACCCTTTTCAAGCATCTTCCCTCTCTTCATTCTCAAATTAATCGCCTCTGTCACAGCGGAATTTAAGTATTCCGTCTTGCATGCCTTAAAACAACTAGTGTTCTCACTTATTGTGAGCTGACAAATGCAGAATACCGAGGACGCCGAGTGTTCGGGACCCTAGCTAGCTTGGCTGATATGTTTTACATCATTAGCAGCTTGGAAAGAGGTCACAAACAATAGACCTTGATTATTTATTGCTTTGCATCACTACTCATAAAGGCAAAAAACAAAACTGAATAAATACTGAGATTCGAACCCACAACTCCAACGATGTATTACGCTGTCGTTAACGATTGAGCTAACGATGGGTTGAAAAAGGTGGCTTTGTATGATTATTATAACCCTATCACTAACCCTAGCTAGACTCTTCTGATTGGCGGCTCAAATGTGCGGAATATTCTGCAGTTAACCTCGAAAGGCTATAGAGTACCGAAGCTGTGACGTCATAAAAATCTATTTTAAGAATTTCTTCATTTTTTCTTCATTTTCCGAAAAAGCATCTAAAATAATGTCCAAATGCCGAAAACCAATTGAATATGTTAAGTATGGGCTGAGATATGACCATCTGAATGAATATATCTCCTATAGGAACTCAGTGTTATATGCTCTGGCTCCCAATGGTTAGGAGCCAAAAATTTAGAAATTCTAAAAATAGAATTTTGATGACGTCACACTTCACCACTCTATGAGCAGTGAGCTACATTATGCACTCACCCCAAGAGAAGGAACAAAGACTGCATAGTTGTCGTCATCTGAAGGCGTCTAATCTACCGTGTAATATCATTCTATTTACTTCTAGATTTCATCGGAGAAATGCAAAATATTGCAGCAGGCGAGACAATAGTCTCCCAGATGCACGACTATTGGCTGGGATACACGAACAAAAGAGATGGCCAAATATCCATCGAGAAAGCCATCTTGATCATGCGTAACCCCTACCAAGCAATGATAGATGAGTTTATTCGTTTGGGATTCGGGAAGAAAGGCATTGTCGACGAGAACAGGTTCCGGAGCGAAGGTAAATCTTTAGCCTTTATACGCCCCACACAAATTATGTCCCTGTGTCACATTGCATTTATTATGGGGTAATCTATACCTAAGGCTTCTAGGTTGCTAAACTGTAGAATTGTCTATACCGATGTTAAAATGGTTGACATAGTGCTAAACAAGAAGGGAAATGATAAATCTTCAAATGAATAATCGACTAATATTATAAACATGTACCCTCATAGGTTAATATTGGAATATGCGTCATAGTAACCGAAAGGGCCCCGTCTTATAAACGTGTTGCGATTGATGACAAATAAATTAATAAACTATTTCCCACCTCTTCAGTACAAAGGTGCGGTAAATATAAAAATAATGTAAATTAGTTGAATCAATCGCAAATTTTAAAGACGGGGCCTTGGCCTCCATCTATGGTAATTCTCTTCATTTCTTTAAAGTCGCAAGATCTGTACTCGATTTTGTGTTTGGCTACAGATTCCTGACAGTATCTCATTAATTAAAGCACTGTGACCTTTCAAAAGCACTATAATTGTTAAACTTTGATATTAATTTTGTTACATTCTTCCACAGCCTGGTCCGTGTTTGTGTCTGAGACTTTCAAGTCCAAACGTTGGCTGGAACTACCTCGAACTCTGTTTGATATATGCAATCATGACGGCGCCGATTCCCTTTGCAGGTCCATTCTTATTGTATACTATGACAATTTGGAAAACAAATTGGACGATGAGCTGCGCCGAATTATGAAGTTCCTCGATGTTGATGTTGATGAGCATCGTTTATCCTGTTCAGTGGCATCCGCAGATGCCTCTCCACATCGACCACACCCACCGAATCTGTCTTTTGATCCTTTCACCAAAGAGCACCATGAAAGGCTGGATGAAGATTTAAAGACTTTTCATCAATGGCTAGAAGTAGAAGGACTCGCTCAGTCCCCTCCCACATTTTAGCCTCAAGGTCCTAAGGTGATTTAGGTGAACTTCCTTTTTCCTCACATTGGTGTAGAAAGGAATCAAGGAGAAATCCAACCTTAGTAGCGAGTCGCTCTAATAGAAAGCAGAAAATCACAGGCGCAGATTGGTGATAGTTTCAACTAAATCTAACCAACAAACCATGGAAGATCACGAGTTTATAACTACTATGTTCATGTGGGAAATTAAAGTAGGCTGATTTGGTAATGTGACTTTGATGAAGTGCCGGGCAACTATATGACTCCATTAGACACAAATTCTAAGATGCCATTTTTTATTAAAAAATGAATGAATGATTTAACTCGGGGGATCTTATCTGCTCTTTTGGAGGACCTATAATATGCTATTCAATAGCGCCCCAAGCGAGAAGGTGTTTAATAGAAAACTAAACCCTCTTTTGTTATTTGTTGTTGTTTTTATATGTTTGATTTGTTGAAAGTAACCTACCAATGTGTAGTAGAATGGTGGGAAGAAGATCAATGTCCTAAAAAAAATAGCGTTTCAAAGCAAAATAAAATCGTCTTTTATCAGTTTCTATTTATTGATAATAATTATAACATTTGGGAATGTCCCAATGAGTTTGATTTATATATTGTTTTGTTTGTGTGTAGACTCATATTGCGGGGATTTATGCAACTGAGTATAAAAGCCTTTACGGTGAGCATTTTATCATAAACATATGAATAACATGGAAGCATTATTACATAGACCTTGGTCAAATATTTAGGGGATATACCCCCTCCGGATCTCCGCTTTAATATGATAGAGACCAACTGACTTTTCATATTCTAAAGGAACAATGTAACTGCAATGAACTGATTCCCTGTGTCCATTCAACCGATAAATCGGGTCTGAGAAATATTGGCACTGTGAAATTCAGAACTTCAGAAAACCGAGCACAAGTAAATGCGCTGAAAACGACATCGCGGATGCAATGCGAGGTAGAAAAGTCATGAGGAAAATCATACAAAATCAAACTGCATGCCAATTATCTTCCTTAAAATGATTCGTCATATGATATAATATGTATCCACATTAGTATTTACATAAGGTTCAATAGATTTAATGTTTGATCTCGGAGGCTTAGTTGTGGCTTAAAGGCATCGTTTAACAATGTTAAGGCCCGGTCACACAGCCCTCCACGGGCGTATCGCGGCCGAATCACGGCCAAAAATTTCTGACCGTGAAGCAGACGCTGTTGGACGCTTTGAGGTCGCGATAAAGACGCGATACAGCCGTACTTTACCCGTCGTTACACGCGGTAAGAAATTCACACGCGGTTGGCCGCGCGAAAAAGTTTTGGGCTGCCCAAAAATTTAGACCGCGGGTAATCGCGGGCGGTACACGTGGTACACGTGGTACACACGCGGTAAAGACGCGGTACAGACGCGGAACGAACGTGCTAGGACGTGCTACGGCCGCGGTTAAGACGTGGTTACATGCGGAATTGGACGCGAAATTTTAGCGGGTAATCGCGGGTGGAGCACGGTCATAGCACGTTTGTTCCGCGTCTGTACCGCGTTGTTATCACGTGCATTAGCGTGTGTACCGCGTGTAAGCGTGGTAGGCCGCGGTACCGCAGCGCTTCACCCGCGATAAGGACGCGGAACAGTCGCCGGCGTCTGTTCCGCGGGCATACCACGGGTAAACCGCGGGTAAGCCAATTTTGCACATTTTCCACCACGGGCAACCGCGGGCAAAAAAAAATCGCGCAATTTTACCCGCGATACAGACGCGAAAGGCTGTGTGACCGGGCCTTTAAAAGCTGAGATGCATGGCCCTATGTGTTATCAGTGTCTGTGATATGGTGTAATATTGACGCCCTAAACAAATTGCGCTTCAAAATGATCATGAAGTGCCTCAAAAAAGTAAAATCTTTGAGTGATCGGTTTTTACCATACTCATTTTCCCCACTAAACTGTAGTGTTAAAAAAAACCGTTAGCAAATCGAAAAATGAAATTTCAATTTCCAATCATAAATATCTTGATAATCAGACAGGCGATCGGTATTACTTGCGAGAGTCGGAGTTGAGTGGTGTCATATGTATGTGGTAATTCAGGTGGTGATGGAAATCGTTTTGATGTATAAGTTCATGAACTCTATCAACTTATAATTCTGAAGACTTAAAGGAGGTGTAACAATTTCTGTTTTAATTTTAGAATCGCTCATTATCGCAGGATGAACTATGCCAAGCTACAATAGCCATGTTCAGAAGGGGGCTTGCTAGTAGTTGTAAGTTAATTCATGCAGCAATAAATATCTCATGTATATTTCACTTACACCATTAGTTGTTCACACCCTCTTACTCTGATCATCTTGCCACGATTAAGTTAACACGACCTTCCACCGACCAGCGTAACTTCTTGAAGTGGTGGCGCCCGCACTAGTCGACCTCAACCCACCTTACGCGCATTAAAACAGTGCGAAATGTAATCTTCATTTTCGATTGTAACGAACATCCCTCGTGAAAGGTTACAAATACTCCTGAGTGCAAGTGAGAGCATCCACACGGTCAACTTGAAATACGCTACCCTCTAGTCGTGTTAGCGCGTTACTGTATACTGTAGTGCTACATAACATTTCGTTTCAAGTTGAATGTACCTACATACATTTAAGAGCGTGATAACGAGCTAGGCACCCGAAAATTAAACTGCCAATATACTAACACTATATGATAGAAAGAAGAGGCGTCCTTCAATTTCTGTGATAGTAACGCAGGTAAATAACTTTATTTACTCGCTTTATCATAATAATGATTAACCAACCATTTGGAACAGCATTTGTATGCTCTTACCAAAATAAAGGAGCCATTCATTCAATAAAAAAGACCAACAATGACAAAATACACCTCCGCACAGGGGCACCGCTAACGGGGTGGGGGGGGGGGGGTGCGACACCCCATCAATCAGGATATTTATTGCCTAAAACCCCTTGGCTTCCGGGGCCCGGCCCCTGGACCCCACGCCAATGAATGATCTGCCAGTGTCACCAAATAAGGTATCAAAGTGTGCTCGTCTGACCGTAATTAAATGCTTAAAACTCCTGAGCTTCCGGAGGCTCCGTCCCTTGACCCCCGCTGGGGCATTGCCCCTGGAACCCACGCCAATTTATGCTCCACCTGCGTCGTTCACTCGTGCGATTACATTCGAAATAAACTTAGTGTAGGCGATAAGTGTCACGCAGTGGTAGTTGGTGTTGTAGACTTGCAGCCGTCGCCTCTTCCATTGCTATCTGGCTGTTGCCAACCTGGCCAATAATAAGAATGGCAAATAGTGGTTATGTAGCAAGTAGCCTGTTCTTCGGATTTCAAGAGATCTGTTATCGAGAATGCATCATTGTTTTGACGACATTTCTCTTTGTTCGTCTCCTTGTTTCCCGTGGATTGTTTAAAAAGAGTACCCCTCCTTCTAACCCACCCCCACCGTCTCCAACGGGGCTTCCATTTTTCGGGAACCTGTTCAGTTTCCAGGAGGACATGCGGCATCTCTTTCGGAAATGGACCAACGAGATAGGGGGTATCTTTCGACTTCGGATAGGGCCGGTGATGGATATCGTGGTGATAAACGACGTCGAAGCGGTCCGGGAAGCATTTGTTGAAAAGGCAGACGCCTTCTCTGATCGCATGGTACCACCACTACTCGGTGAAGCACTTGGCAAACGAGGTAATAACCACTTATACAAGCACAAGAAAACATACACTCGTAAGTCATTTAGGACGAACTGGTAGTGAATACACATAGGTTACCTTTCTACACGTAATAGGACTGTAAAAATACTAGCTAAAGGATAAAAAGTATTTTCCCCAATAGACTGTAGTGTTATGAAAACCGTTAGGAAAACGCAAAATTTGAATTCGATTTCCAATCAAAAATATCTTGATAATCAGACAGGCGATCGGCTTGTAAAAGTCATGGGGTTCCTGAATGACCTAAATGTTTATAATTATCATTGCAGCATGAGCTAAATCTAGGATATTGTTTCAGAATCTGAGACAATGTTACCCAATGCTTTTAAAGAGAAGATTGAGTTCTGGGAAGAGGTGAACACACATTTGTGTGGAAGAACATCCGATAAAGAATGTTCCCTGAAAAGCATGGCTCTTCAAATGCCTTAATATTCTAGATATGGCATGCAACATCATGAAAATCGGTAGTACCATATACATCTTTCTGTTTACAGTGCTTGTAACTTTATCAAGAATGGGCCAATTTTTTTTAATCATTTTGATGATTCCAGTATCTGTCATTACACACATCAATACTTATATGCTAGATGATCAACCTTTTCTGATCGATTTCACAACGTTTCTTTCACAATGCAATCGCATGACCAGAAGTCAACTTTATCTTTAAAGGAAACGTACCTCACCCAAGAAATAAACGTGCTTGTTCTGAGATATTTGTTATATTAATAATATAATTAATTAATTAATTAATTCCCATTAATTAATTTACAAGATTCCCAACCAAAGGGTATGAGAGAGGCATAAATCAAAAATAAATGTACAGTTTTTAGATAACGTGACGTACGGTATGATGCCGTTTATCAAGTAAATGTATTCAAATTAATGGATGCTTCCTTCCCAGGTACGTGTGGTCATGGGCGTCAATCCGAGATTGAGCATGGGGGGGGGGCACAATAACATGTTGATACACACACACTCTCTCTTCAGTTATTCTGTTCCACGCTTTATTATTTTTATTGGTGACCGGTTCATTTATTGTCATTTTTATCAGCATTTAGTCAGGGTTTATAGATTTTTAAGTTGCTACCACATTCTTTCTTTTCATATACGGCATCTGCCTATTTCTATCAAGAAATTACAACAATGTATAAACATTAACCGTTTGGCTTTTATCCAAAGAAATGTTTGCATTTTTTTATGAAGTAAATTTTAGAAACCAAAAGTATCTAAAAATTATGAAGACGTCGTCATTGCTGCTGACTTAATTGCAGCCATTTATGTTTCTATTTTGTCCTGTTATTTATTTTAAAGTGAATTGAAGATCGGAATCCAGTTATAGTGCCATTTCACTCATGATCATGATAATGAATTCAATTAAGTCAGTACACGTAATCCTATATCAACAAAATGCTTACACACTTTTGAGCATAGGTAAGGTGTCCCTTACTTATGTTATTTTTGTAATAATAATGTTTGTTATTGTTAATATTATCATTATTTTTATAACTATTCTTTTCATTATTTTAATTATCATGATAATTATCGTTAATATTATTATTATTGTCATTATTATTATTATTACTATTGTTATCATTATGATGAATATGAACATGATGATTATGATGAGATTAATATCATTATAATTATTATCATCGGTTTCATAAGCATGATCATCAATGGCAGTATAGTGTAGTATAGTACATGTAGAAGTAGTAGTGGTATCATTCTGATCCTGATTATCCTGATTATCTTTTGCAATACGTCTAGAGGATACAATCATGACAATTGAAAATTTGTCATGATTCATTGTCTTTTAGCTTACCATTATATGCATCTGGCTCAAATTTTGCTTCGGTATTTGGTACTGGATGATTAACATGGTCAAATGAACGTGTGTCGTATTCATTCTAGTCTTTTTCATTGGCATTATGTTTTATTCATTCTAGTTCTAATTTTTTCTGATTGTTTTCAAGACAATATCTTCTTTGTCGATCATAGTGCTATATAGCTTGATATCTCATTGTAATGTTGAGGGGAAAACAATCCAAGCAACGATTTCGGAATTATAGCGACAATCATTCGCATTTGCTGCCCTTTAATATATACTACCAAAACAAGCAGCTAAGGTATTAATTATTTTTTCCAGGACTCATGATAAATTCGTTTAACAGTTGATTCCCCTCGGTTGACTTTTTGTTCGGATTATTTAGCCAGGAGAGATAGAGGTGAGCGGTCTCACGCTTAATGACGTTGTATTGTTATTATTATTTGTTCATCGTCTCTACAATGCTCTTTGAATAAAAAACAGCTTTTATTGTTAGGCTTCCTGGTAGAAGTTTCAATTGTTGTTAAGCAATTTTTGGTTGCACCCTGTAGATTATGATGATGTATTTGATCTTGTTTTCAATAACAAGATCAAACACGTGATGATAATCTACTGGGTGAAGGCCAGTAAGTTCTTTACAACAATAAACAAAAATGAGGTGATATTCGAAGCCCGGCCTCCACTCCGTGAACCGAGGGACACCATGCGTGTTCCCAAACACTCTGGCTCGTAACGAAAGAAAAGGTCTACCCGTATTGACTTTACACACCGGACTTTTGCTTAAAAGGGGGGCGGGTGCTGAAAAAGGCTCGTATAACAAAAGAAAACGGTCGACCCGTATTGACTTTACACACCGGACTTTTGCTGGAAAGGGGGGGGGGGCGGGAAGGGGTCGCTTGGAACACGCATATGCGTACCCTAAATAACACTGAGTGGGGGGGGGGGATTCGAAGTGGCGTACACATGGCAATCACATGGTAGATAAATGATCATCAGTACCGGGTCTAGTAAATTAAAGAAAACTGAATTAGAACCTGGGCCATAGGCTACCCCTTCTGTCTTTCACCCCCCCCCCTCTCTCTCTCTCTCTCTCTCTCTGCCTCTCTCTTGTCATTGCCTTCTTTTCCCTCGCTTCTTGCCACGTAGTATGTACATGTAATGTGTATGCCTCGATCATAGAGAAAATAATACTAATATCGCTGAAATGATTCTTCTCCTTCCCCCTTGTTCTTCTTTTTCTTCTTCCTAGTAGACTAGTAGTTTGCTTAATTTCAAATGATTACTCGCTGTTTGCTAGGACCATCGCGTATAATAATCTGTATGGGTGCCATTAGGAGCGCTGTGCCGTTAATGATAACGAATCATTGACAAGAAATATAGGAATTTTAGGGAATACTATGATTTATCAACAACATGAAACAAATAGTAAGCATCTAACAACTTCAGATGTCTGTTTATTATGATTACATTCTGAGTCATTTCAAGTTAACTAAATATTTTAAAGTATTTTTGCATTCTCTCAAAAATGCCGTCAAAAGTAACAAATGATCGTGTCTTGGCTGGTCTGTTACTGATTCCTACACAATAATTATAACACATATTGGCTATGACGTCATTTTTCAGAACGCCATTTGTCCCTTTTGCGTCCTTTTCTCCCTTGTAATTTGACAGTGACATTCCAAGTTGCAATACGGCAGTGCCCCCGGAGCAAGATTTTTAAAACCTGCCAAGATGGCCATTCTGGCGTCATTTTATACTCTGCATTGGGGACTTTTAGATTTGCGTGGACTGATACGTGTGACGTCCATTCAAGTCAAGGCAGTGCATTAAAAGGACGTCGATCGTATATCAATCCCCATTGTCTTCGTGCGAATCTAAAAGTCCCTACTATTGTGTTAGTATGGACGGTCGTTTGTGCCACAACACGCGTCATGATCAGTAGGTGTTCATCATGCACCCAAATCCCATTGCTAGTTTTGCACGCAGTTCTTGAGAGCCCTACTTCTAGGTATCTTCCTCTATCCCAATTTCCCTCAAAATAATCACTCCGACATCGATAGAAGTGCTACATAAATAACCTTTGTTTCCCCTTTTCAGGGAATGCTTCCACCTGTGCATAGAGTACATTGTTTGTGTATAAATGATTAAGGATTTCATAACTTTCATGAGCACGTATCCAGTATTTTGTTTACCCCTTTATCTGCCCGTGCTCAGACTGCAACTATGAACTGGCTTATTGCCAGAACGCAAATTGCAATAAGTTAGTGCTCTTCTGTGGTAAAGGTTTCTCATAAATTAGATAGATTTGTCAACTGCTATATTTCACTATTTTTCAAAAATATTGAAATATAGCAGTTGACAAATCGAATAAGTTACAGTTTTTTTTACCTGTTAATAATAATAAACAATACATAAGATTTATAAGGCGCCAAATCCACTTGACAGTCAAATGCTCAAGGCGCAGCTTGCGCAAAAAAAATGAAATACATGATACATAATATACAAAAGTGCAATAGGAAAGGTACAGACATGAAAGGTAATGTTAATCAATTATAAGGTAAATTAAACAGATATTTCTTAAGATTATTTTTTAACACTTCAGCAGAACTGCAATTCTTAATACATTGAGGGAGAGTATTCCACAGTGAAGGCCCAGCATGAGCGAAGGTTCGCTCCCCCACTTTGCTTTAACCCTAGGAGTAACAAGTAAGCCTGAGTTTTGAGAACGTAGCTGTCTAAAGGGAAAGTAACGCTTGATCAAGCCTATGTTGTACTACGGAGCAGAGCTATGCATACAGTGGAATGAATAATAGCAAAATAATCTTGAAAACAATACGTTCTTCTACGGGCAACCAATGGAGTGATTTCAGGACTGGTGTGACGTGACTATACTTGTTGGACTGGGTCACGACGCAAGCAGCAGCATATTCTTCACCAAATATAAGTTCTATCTTGTCAGCCTTGACTTCTCCTGATTGAAAAGTAAAGGTTTTGTTATTGATTTAAAAAGTCTTTCCAACTAAATATGATACATGTAAAACTTAAACTGATAAATTTGGTAGAGGGTTTTCAATGTCCAATATCACCAAATCTTCGAGGAAGAAAAACTCGACCAATTTTGTCTAATTTGGTATCATTTGCCTTCCGAAAAGATTTGTTATCTACTGGTATCGGTACCAGAAAATAGAGAATCATTTTTGAAGAAAACTTATAACAAAATTTGATATACATACAATTTGTTTAAAACGACGATCTTTTGTTGACAATGGATACATATATGAGATCTGCTCCATATTCTTGGACGTATTCCACTTTGTTTTGGTGGGCCGTCCTGTATCATAACCTCGTATACTAGAAAAATACCCTGTTAACTAGCGCATTGCTGAACACATGTAGGGTTTCATGCTACTGGTGTTGTGTAGATTATCCCAGATTAGTCAAGAGTAGATCATACCGGAGGAAAGGGGAAATCTGTAGCAAAGTAATATTCTACCCGAGTTATTTTGATCATTGTCATTTTACGTGGTTCCCTCAAAATCTGATAAAATAAGAATAAAGGAATAAATGAACTCCACAGTCAGATCAATACTAGACATTTCTATAGAACTTTTTTTATGGTATTGAAAGTGCCCTTGACTTGATTTTTCTTCCTCCAAAAGGTAGCCTCATTTGGCCGGCAGGAGGAGGATGGAAAAAGACCCGTAAGTTTGGGCACAGTGCCTTTAGGAGTATGGGACTTGGTCACAGGAGAATCGAGGAGAAAGTCGTTGAAGAAGGAAGAATTCTTGTTCAGGCATGTGAAATGAAGGAGGGCGAGCCTTTTAACCCCAGAGTCCTCATCACTAATGCTGTTGGCAACATGATAGCATGGTATTTTCAGAATTTATGTTCTTTATAAGAATTGTAATGGGTATAGGGACTAAAATGCTGGGTTGAACCTTGTCACAAGGTAGAGTTTTCAAAAGTAATGGCGAGTTACCGAATTAAACATAAATATTACATGGTTATAATTTTATACATTTATGGTAGACTTTTTTTTTTTTTTTACATATTCAATCAATCATAGTTCGAATAATTTCACATAACATGCCCTAAGAATAAGAGTTCCTATTTTTCACGAAACATGGAAAATATCCGTCACGTCAATTTCAGGATACAAGAAATGGTTAAAAGTTGTTGATCACCGCTAATTTCATTTTTGTAACCACGTTCAAATTGATGATGTTAACGGGAATAACATATGGACATTTTTATCACTTTATCTCTCCCCCGCCCTTTCTCTTTTTTTTTCTCTCTCTCTCTCTCTCTCTGTTAATCTCTCTCTCTCTCTCTCTCTCAGCCTCCTAGCTACCCCTTTATACCCAGTTCGAATTACGTTCATGACATTATTCGTATGAGTAAATAGAATAATCGAAGTATGATTCCCCCTCATCATGCTCATGTGAAGTTTGCTTTAACTACCTACCTCTCTTCTCCCCATCTCCACCCTCATCTCGAACGTACCCCCTCCTCTCTCTATCTCTCACTCTCTCTTAAACATCACAGTTTAGTGACTGGATCTCGCTACGATTATGGTGACCCCGATTTCGTAAAGATCGTCGGCGACATCGAGCGTTTCTCTCAGAACCTCTCACTGACATCTCTCGGTAACGTTTTCCCGCTCCTCTATTACACCCCACTCTACACCGACTTTCGGCGCCCTATGCGAGATATCATCTCGTACATCAAATCAATGGTCAAACAGCACCAACAGAACTTCGACCCTCTTAACGTTCGAGACATAATCGACCTCTACATAGTCGAGCTTAAGCAGCAACGGGAGCAACAGATTCCTGGTACTGTAGAGGAGAACCTGGAATGGAGGCTGAGTATTGAACTCTACATAGCCGGCATGGTGACTACCAGTGATTCTATGCTATGGGCTATACTCATCGTGGCACAGCATCCACAGCTAATGAAAGAAGTAATTGAGTACAAATAGGTTGATTAGATATGCATGTATGAAACTTTCTTAACACTGATTGAAGAACATTTACAGAAATCGCACCGTTACTGATGCAAAATCATGGAGCACCTTTGGCATGTTACACACTAGTCACCATTTAGATTATTACCTGCTAATCAAGCCAATGTAGCAATTTGTTTTTGTTGACTGTGTTTTGCTTTGCTTTGTACTTTTGTTCTTCTTTTTTTCTTTGTTATGTTTTGTATTTGAACGATTTTATTCTCTTACTTACTCCGTTGACGCGTTCCTTCGTCAAATGAAATATATATCTGTGTGTGCAACCATTAATAGGGGTTTAACATTTACGTCGTTGCAAGGTGCAAGGCTGTTTTATTTTTATTGTTCACTAAATTTCATTTAAAAAAAAAAATCCTCTGATATTTGGGAAGCCACATCATGACCATGTGTGCATGGCAGTAGGCCTATTAAATATTGAAATGCTATGATAAGGCTTAAAGGTTCCTTTACCGTACTATTGTTTCATTTTTTCATTCACTGGACACAACAATACCGCTACGAGTTGAAATCTTTGTACGCATATGCTACTTTGCAATCTCATTGATGCGTTTGGTGCTACACCAAGCAGGCATACAGTTTTTGTATCTCTTCTCTGCTGAATCATTTCAGATCCAGAAAGAAATCGATGACGTCATCGGTGATGAACGATCCCCCAAGATGGCTGACCAAGATGCATTGCCTCTCATTGTAGCAACACTCATGGAAGTGAGTCGAATCCGCCCAGCAGTACCTCTGGGCGTGCCGCGATTGACCAGCCGAGATGCTACACTACAAGGATACCACATTCCGAAAGACACCGGTTGGTATACATTATTGTATAATTATTATAATAATATTAATAGTAGTAGTAGTGGTAATAGTACTATTTTGTACCAAGAGAAGCCTCATTAGTGTTAATGCTGTTCTTCCTGAAGACCCTGCAATTATCATTACTTCAGCGATTGCCAGGTACTCTTTTACAGTAGTATATGTGATTTAATGTGGACGTTAGTGCGGGGCTTAGATTTAAATCATCGACCGTTTAATTGAGATTTTATTGGCCTGGTGAATCAATCTCAAGACTACGACACCGCCAAAATTTGGCAGAAAATGTCATGTATTTTTCCATATTTTTTCATTGTATATGGGAGAAAAACATTAAATCCCTGAGTGTCCTTTCTTTCTTCCCGGTATCTCGGGATATGGATGTAGTCTAAATAATACCTGAGTCACACCAACATACTGACTCTATACTGACTCCTAACCGACAAATTATTTGCCATTCGAGGAATGACTGAGGTATTAGCACGACTGATTTTTATGCCAGCTGTTTGCTCAATTAAGTGCAGCCATGTATGCACATCCCATTGTCAGGCCTCGACCAATTGTCAGATTTATTTAATCCTTTTAATAACAGATTTTGCGTCGACAATAGGGGTCAGAGTCCCGTGCGTCTCCATGAAATCTGTCTTTTCATTTCATATTTGGTCTAATAAAAGCTCTAATAGGGCGATGAACTCAATACAATTATATCATACAATGTTTGATTTAGTCTTCTCATTTAGCCTTGTTCTGATATGGAACGAGTTGTTTTGTTAAATGATGACCTTTACAGAGTCTAATAACACAGAGCTATCCAATTCAATTCAATAAGGAAGTTTACATATAGCACATGGTACAAATGACTTCAAATATCCACAGATATTTTACACATGGAGAAGTTCCACTTTGAGCATCTTAGAATAATAACTGCCAAAGTCCTAGATGTGCTTCATGGCTTTTGTTTGACCTCTTAAAAAGAATTCTTCCACCTGCGTATCATAAAATGTACCGTTGGTGCATAAATGAATATGAATGAAAGGAACAACATAATCCTTAAATGAAGGTTGACCCTACTAAAGCTAAGTTAATATCTGTAGATCCTTTTTTTCTCCAAAGATCCCTGTCTAAGCTTCTTCGTTTAATAGCGCATTAGCCATTCATATTTTAAACGTTAAAGAAAACTGCGCCGAGTTTTTTCCGGCATATCTGAACGAGCCTTTAGGCAGGTAATAATTTGTCAAGTTTCTTTTCTGAGACGATTGCGAGACGCCATTTTTTTTTTATGAGACAGCAATACCAAAATAAGTGATGAATTTTTTATTTAAACAGTTGTTATCATGAACCTATGGGAGGTTCTCAACAGTCCGAAGTACTGGGACAAGCCTGAAGAATTCAACCCGTATCGTTTCCTGAGTGAAGATCGACGGAGCGTGGTGAATCACCCTGCTTTTATTCCATTCGGAATAGGTAGGCGAAAGTGTAGCTTTATTCATTGAAGATAGCATATTGAAGATAAAAATAAACCCTTATTATATATTTTTATTTATTTATTTATTTATTCATTTGTAGTTTTATTTTTTACAGGGTAGCAGTGTCAGTTTAAAAAAATGGTTTCCACACTGGCTTTGTTGGCCTTTACAATAATATGGTTGAATATTGGAGTTAAAGACAAATTACTTCCTTAAAATAAATCTATATAGTACCACATGATAATTTAAGTCAAACTAAGATTAATATATTAATATTGAAGGCGAAATCTAATACTTCCGTTGACTAAAAAACATACAAAACACACTACAAAACCCACAATAGACAAATACAAAATAATGAACTAAAAACTAAACCTAACCATAGGTAACCTACAATTTAAACTAACATCAGTAAAGAAAAAAATTGGTGATTTAATTACAAAAGTAGCAACATATGTAAGGAATTTGTCGTTGATATAATTGATATTTTGATATGTACATTCACATTCGTTGTCAATATGACCATACTTTATTGTCATGATTGTAGATAGTGTTCAACGGGTATGTATACTGTGGGAGTAAGACTAACGACCCTGCAAGACGAAGACCTTTGTTTAGCTTTGCATTCTAAAACTACGAAAAAGTTTCTATCGTGTTCGACTCGGTGTTAAACAAATTATTACATTCAAGTTTTGGAGTAGACGACAATCTCAAATAATTCAGGAGGGAGGAAAGCAGAGGAGAAATATGCCCCTCATTTATCAAGACTCTGATGGATGAAAAAAAATTCGCTTTAACAATGTTAGCGTTTGCATAATCCTAATTTCTCTGATATGAAAACAAAAGTACCCGGGAATCGCACGCACGGTTTATTTTTTTAGTGTAATACATGCATTTTCAAAGTTTCCCCTGTCATTGTGCTAGGACAAGAGAGTCAAAGGCTTTAAAAAAATGTAACTCAGTTCATATACTGTCCATGTTGACGCTCATTTAATGAAATAATGTTCCAATACTTATTTATACTATTACAGTTCTTGTTTTCTAAATTAAAAATCAGCTGTACTATTGTTTAATAGACCCTCTAACGTGTTGGGAGCCCCAAAACTTTGATGGCAAAATTTCACTTAAATTATATCGTAATGTGAAAGAGGATGTCATTTAAGACACATTTGTGCAAGGTTTAACAAAAAATGTGTTCGAAGTCGAATATTGATAAAAGAATACAAATTTAGGTTTTCTGAGTATAACAGAAAACCTAAAATATGTATTTAAACAAATTCAATAGTTGTCTTCAAACAAATGTTTTGGGGAAAATATCTGCAGAAGTATCTCTTCAAAAAATAAATGACACCCTCTGTCACATTATGATACAATTTTAGTGAAATGTTGCCATCAAATGTTTGGCGAACTTGGGGTTCCCAACACTTTAAAAGGGATTTAATGTATATTAAACAATCGTTTTGATGTATATTTTTTAAACTTAGAAGTTGACATCTTAATAAACATCTCCTGAGTAAAACATTATATGTTTTAATTATACAGGACTACGTGCATGTCTTGGCGAAAAGCTGGCGAGGATGCAAATGTTCATAATCTTTACAAGCCTCCTGCAGAGATTCACGTTTTGTTTGGCAGACGACAGTCGATCGGCCGGCATGAAAGGCAAGGCAGGAATGGCTTACTCTCCACTAAAGTATGATATCATCTTAAAGAGAAGAGAAAACAGCGATTGATTGGGAATGCAACCATGCCAATTCGCCTTTTATAAAAAGAACAGATAGCACAATATTTTCGCTATGTATCCTTCATTTCAGTATGGCCAACGTTTATATACACGTGGAATAGGATCTGCACTTAACTTGGGAAATTTATTTTAGCCGAAACTCTTTTGTGTATTGTTTGGTACTGGGTAATCATTTGTTAATATAAGTGTATTATGGCTAAAGATAATTATTTTGAAAATATACATTTTCTTGTGCAAATAATGAAGAAAATTCTTTATCCTGTACATAAGTCTAGATGATCTTTCTCTTTTGTACTCTTATATTTAAGTAGAAAGTATGATAATAAATTGGTTAATACCTTATTGCTATGTCTCTATTTCTATGTGTACTCGAGGGGATGTTCTTTATAAATATGTTTCTAAAAAGTATTGAAGGGATGCAAGTCATTCATGAACTGTTATTATTTGTGACGCATGCTTAGTTTTGTTCAATTTCAGAGCAAAGATTATTAAAAATTAAATTGTTGTCATGTGGTAGGAGAAGTACTTGGTAGACTGGTAAACATAACATCGCTACTTCTTTGTATTTAGAAAGCAAACTGCTTCCATTTAGAAGTTTAAGGATCTTCCCATTCTGTTAAGATGAGAACATTTAGTGCTACTAGAAAATCCATATTTTAACAATGTGTACAGAATGATTACGTAATATGTTTGATTTAATAGTGATGATTTTCATCCAAGCGACCAAGGTATTGGCTGTTGTATTTTAAGAACAATCTTTCTGGTAGCTGAGTTACTTAAATAATGTGATTTCAAATACAACGAGAAAGTAAATTGTAACACGATCACAAATGCTAATGAAAATTAACTTGAGGCAATATCAGAAGCCTTGTCCATCACCTATTGCAATCTTTGAATTACTATGTAATGTAAAATAAAAGCAAAGTTGATTTTTCAATAGTGTTTGCGATCGTGACTTGTGCATATGATTATATTTATGGTAAGTTATCAAATGTTAGTTTAGTTGAACTTCATACAAGATATGATGGCAGTACTCTAAAAATAGATACTTGGTTACTCTATATATGTTACTAAGGAGTAATACTCAGGAATTAAATGGCGTTTTCTCGCTTTCTTAACATTCATTATGGACGTGGTGTTTCCTTCCATATGTAATTATGCATGTCACGTTTTTTTGTAAACGCAAAACAAATGTATCGTAGAGAAGTGATTTTCATCTAGGTAAGATAATATTGTGTATTATATACCTCACTTAAGAAATCCAGCCATCTGATTGGTCGAATTGCATTCATAAACTTCAACTGTTCCTGTAAAATTCCCGGTAACCATGCTTAAAACATTTCAATATTTTTAATAACCATGGTTATTAAAAAAATAGGTCAGTCTCCATGGTTACCCCATAGGTTTACGTGTTAAAAAATGGTTTGAGCGATGGAGGATACCGTATGTGTGCGAATAATTGGTCGGTAATTTCAATACAATTGAATCTCGATCGATCTTACCGACAATTTTATCTTGCATTGTTGACATGAAGACGAAAATAAACTTCCAAAAACAAAAAAACAACATCTGCCGATAGATCTTGATCTAAGTTCGTGCCAATATGCATTGCAAAAGTAAAAGAAGAGTCCGTATATGGAGCTTTTGCGAAGCATTCATCACACGCGAAGCCGGTTTCAATCCATTTTAATGTATATATTGTACAAAACTACCCTGCATGTTAATAACGCGCGATGGCCGAGAGGTCTGAGGCGCTGACTTTAGAAACATCACCTTTTGTACGCAAGAGTTCGAATCTCATCTTCGACCAAAAAAAAAAGTATTTTTTATTTTTTATTTTTTAGTCTATTTTTTTTCGGCATATAAAAGTATTAATGACTGCTTTAATATTCGAGAAATAGTTGTTTTCATACGCTCTCGGGAAGGTTACAATTGGGCTATTCCCCTCGGCAAGCCTCGGGGAATAGCACAATTCTAACCTTCCCTTGAGCGTAATAAAACAACTATTTCTCTCAAAGCAGTCATTAATATTATAATAACATGGGGTTTCTATATATTTCTGTTCATTTATTCTTTACATTTAAAAAGAAAATCAATATATTATTCAATGAAAATTTAAAAAAAGGAGAAGTTGTGAAGACTAAATTATTAAAGAAATACGATCGCAAAGAATACCCAAAATTAACCTAAGGCAAATAAAGTATCCTTGTCACTCACCTAATATGTAAATGAGCAACAATAACAATGACACCTTATGTAATCCGAACATAATTTTTAGAGACAATCAAATAGGATATCGAAATTGCTCGAGTTATTTTCCGAAAGTCTCTGCGATCATGTTATTAGAGTGGAAGCCCGATATGAAGAACACTGTTCTACCAATTACTCTCATTACACCAATACGACTTTGCTGGTCCCTCTTCTTATTTTATTGTTTTGAGCCCCGTGTGAATAAGGTTTAAAGTAATTTCCATGTTTCCAACTTCGTGGTATTTATTGTTCTTCTGTATTAACTTACTGATGGAAGAATACCAACTGAAAATAAGTCTTGAATATTAAATTTACTTAAATTTTTAATTGAAATTCCTTTACAAAAAGAAAAAAAAATTGTTTATGACCTGTAATTTGCATTGTTAAAACGATCTTGCTCTGTACAACTATCCCTTTAAATTCACGTAGTGTTGGTAACTTCAAAATAGGTATTTTACCATAATTATGGAGACTCAAAGTTATCCCGAACATTGGAGGATGCTTGTCTGGTACATGATAAACAATTTGACCCGTTTGATTGATAGGGGTTCAAAATTTGAGTTCTAAGCATACTGAAGTTTGCATACAGTAAATATGAATTGTGTGTTTTGTGTGTGCACACACACACACGCACACACACGCAAACACACACACGCGCACCCACGCATACACACCCACACACACACACACACACACGTATAAGGACAATTGACCCCTGGAAAATCAGTCCCAGAAAATTACCCCCCGGAAAAATCACCCGGAAAATTACCCCTTAGGACAACCACCTCTTAGGACAATTACCCCTCCCCCTGGAAAAATACCCCTCCAGGACAATTATCCCACACCCCTGAAGTTACCTCCTAGGACAATTCCCCCCCCCCCCCCCCCCCCCATCCACCAGGTCAACCAAGGACAATTACCCCGGGGAGCATTCAGTATCAGCATTTGTATATGACCTGCAGAAAGGACATTTACCACATTCGTTAATGAATTACTTTGATTTAATGAATCACATGTATAGAACAAGAGGGAGGGAATAATTAATGCTACGATTACCTAAATGTAGTACGACAAATGGGATTTTTTCAATTTCTTTCTTTAGAGCAAAGCTGTGGAATTATTTGCCAATAAATGTAAGAGAAGAAAAACAAGATCATCATTTCGTAAAAATCTCAAATTAAACTCTTCAGCAGAGATGAATCATATGGATTAAATAATATGCTATTAAAGGTATAGTTGAGTATTGGTAATTTCCAAAGTGCCCCTCCAAAACAAATTTGGTTTATTTCAGTACCATATGAAAGATCATCGAAAAAAACATGGGAGATGATAATAATTCCAAATCAAATGCTCTAATTGTTGTGCAATTTGCTTTCAAAACATTATATAAAAGTGTTTGACGTCCGGACATCACTTTTGACTTTCGACGGTTTATTTTTTGAATTTACGTGTTTAGCTCCCTCTATGTCATTTAACAACCAGCGTATTTACAACGAGTGTTTGAGTTCGTTGGTACGTACAGTACTACAGGTAGCTAGCAGGCGGGTATCCGACCGCGCGCTAGTAATACAGTACAGCTGATATCAATTCCAATACGCTGCTTTCACGTAAAGTATAACACACACAGCTCATATCAGATTATCACTGGCGCCGATCGAACGCTAGACAGCTACAGACAAGCTTTGATTGAAATACGATAACGAGATCGAGATTGGAAAAGGAGCTCGAGGTCACGGACGATGGCCGACTCGGACTCAGCTAGTGCTAAGCCTAAGGACAAGGCTAAGGCTACGCTAAATCGGAATAAGACTAAGTAAGACGGTAAGAGGAAGGAGAGAAACAAGCAATGGCAGCTCGACCATCCGGCCCAGAGGAGGCGCGGGAGTGGCTGTGAACAAGGCCAGGGTACGGCGGAGAAACTTCGCGAGCTGCAGGCGGCCTTCTCGTTGCCGAGTCTAGAGGATGCAATAGACATGCCAGCTCACTGAGAGGTAAGTTGAAATGATATACGCCCCACTGCATTTGGGTAGGCCTACCGTTTTAATTTGATCTAGTCTAGAGACTAGATGCATGGAATCGGCAAATTTAAGAAATTACGTTTTGTTATCTCTTGCCTTGGATTTTTAATTCAGATTTCATGAATCATATGATATTGATAGTCTAGCCTAGGTCTACAGTAGACCGAAAGCTTCAGTCTCTATATCGTCGGTTGTTCCACTGAGACTACGTCTGGCTCCACTAGACCTCCGGATGAATTTGGTTCAAATGAAAATATTGGAAGCATATGCGATCCTACAATATTCAGTTAACGTTGTCGCGTTGAAATCGAGTCTAAAGTGATGAAATTGTAAATAATAATCTCTTTATGGGGTATACTATAACTCTCTCTCAAGGTCAATATATTAATTCAGCTATACAACAAGCTACAATTGACCGATTGGCTATTACCTTTTTGAAATTATATATCACAACTACATATTCCGGGATTTTTATGGTAGCAGCTACCGTTGTACGACCGTAGGCGCTATTTTAAATTTATCAAAATTTACCGGGAGCACCGGTAAATTTTTATATTCAATTTTTTTCGAAAGCAGAAGTGTTTTAGGAGCTAAATTTTCTAGTGCTTATAATACTTCCACAGGGGCATCCAAATATATCAAAATTGTAAAGAATCACTATCCACCCAATTTTCAAAATTTCCCAAAACTTTGTAATAGACCCTACCTTTAATGTCCCTCGTTACAACTGCAGTTTTCTTTGTAATGATGACGTGCAGGGCTAGTCAACCGGGTAAACATCCTGCTCTTTTTAAAAGTCGACAAGGTTATACTATAGCTTGCTTGAGATGTGACTGTCTCATCTATATTTATCTCTACCAAAGAGTGTCTCAACTTCACATACATGACAGAGAACCAATGCATCAGTTATTAGTCATGCAAATTCCAAATCTGGCTAGCTGTGATAATTATTAGAGAATGCCATCTTCAAAATAATTTCTTTTGGTGATTTAAAATCTGAATGTTTTTTACTTTGTGAATGACTTTCGTTTCTTCACTTTTTACAGATATGAAGAACAGACAACACAATCCATCCCCAGCGAAGAAATTCCAAGCAGCAGTAGGGGAATTAGCAGGTGAATAGTACAAGTCACCTTTGACCGCAAATTCATGGAGAACTTGGCCTACTCTGCTGATTTGCTCGCTTCAGGTAGGATTCTGTATACAACTATACATGTACGAAAGGCTCTGTAAATTGAGAGGAATTTAATGAGAATGCGTTCATTACGTACATGTTTGCAAGATTGAGCTCTTTTTCGGTTATGACCTATAAAATTGGGACATATCAGCAGGTCAAGATAATGCATCTTATTTGCTCATGTGTATGACATGGGATTTTCAATATTGATTTTGTGGTATGAAAATAATGAAATGCCCTATCATTTATATCAGTTTTTATTTTGTTTTCATAATTCCTTAGGCACACCAGCATGCTCGAGTGTTTCCACAACCATATACTGATGTATGCTTCCAAGCGGTATTCCTTTGAGTAAGTATTTTTAGTATCATTTTGTATGTTTGAAGTAAGATTGTGGAAAAGTTGAAACATATCATTACAGTACGGTTACAGTTACAATATCATATTTTGAAGCAAATAGCAAAGTTAATGAGAAATTATGAATGACATCTATATAAATGCTGAAATCACTTTTGGATGCATGCAGAGTCTTGAAACAGCAGACTTTGTATCGTACTTGTGTCGGTACCTGATGTTAAGTCAAGTTGGAGTGGTTGTAGCAGGGAAATGTAACTACCTTTAATTAAGAGTCAATAATTTACAACACAAATCCAGAACTGAAGTGAATGGCTCGTATTCACAAAGGAGGTTTGTACAAACCATGGTTTGGCCAAGGTTTACATCTATGGAATGCCATTTGTAAACTGATGGAGAAGGAATGTAAACTCCATACTTGTTAACAATGTTAATTTACAATTTATGGTATGCGAGCAGCATTCCATAGATGTAAACCATCGTCAAACCATGGTTTGTACAAACCTCCTACAAACCTCCTTTGTGACTACGGGCCAATGAGTCTGAGATTTGTCTAAAGCATTTACTATTCATTCATCATGGTAGTGGTAATACCAATTGTTTGTCTTATCCATCCAGCTACCCAGCAAACCGGGCATTCCGGCAAGGAATTTGCTTGCGGTCATCGACTACATGGCACACAAGGACAGGCCCGACCAGATTGATGAACAAGGCAATACAAAGTGAGTGGAAATTAGAAAGAAAGAAAAAAAGGTTTTCTTTTCTTTCTTGTTTTTCCTATTTTTATTTGTACATTTTTTTTTAGATGGACAAGGCAATCCAAAGTGGGTGGAGTAAAAAAAAAAAACATGATTTTTTGTTTTCCCTGTGTAGTTGGACAGGGCAATCCGAATTGGCAGTTCTTTCCCATGAAATTTATCAATTTTGGGGAAATTATTAAATATCTAATTGTCCTTCCTGGGAACGCCCCTTTTAAATCGCCAAAATATGACGTCATCTAAAGAAGTTGTCCCTGTGCACGACGCACATCTAAATTATGTAGATGACGGACTGTAAGCTGATGGTTTGTCAATCATGCTGCTGATTTTGGACCCTAAATGCGGACTTGGATTCAGTGTAATAATATACTTGGTGTGTAATGCAAGGTTCTGGAGTCATCAAAATCATCATAAATTTGGCAGAGTTTTGGTAAAGTAACAATCACTTACACAGAAAGATGTATATGGGACAACACACATGGTGTCGGCCTGTCGGGGCTAGTACTTCCCTGATTTCCTTATCTTTCTATGCTCATTACTCAGCCAGTATACATTTTCTTCCAAAATTGTTTGGCACATGACATTTATTTGTAATCTTGAACATTCAGTGTAAGTTTCGTTAGATTCTGTGAGAATTCATTTTCTTTTTTTACCAGAACTCAAGTTTATCTTTAAGAGATATGAATCATTTCCAATTGACAAGAATGAGTGTGCATATAATGCAACTTGTTACATTTTGCATGTTCTTTTATTTTATGATACAGATATGTTGCAGTATGGTCAAAGCGTGCCAACAACTACGTGGCCCGGAAGGAGAAGGTCCCCAAGACCTACCCCTACATGTATGTACAAGGACTCATCGGTGCGATACTGGAACGCAGAGAACAGGACCAAGGACCACTGTTCTCGAAGGCTGTTCTGCTCCCTGATGACCCTAGACACACAAGGCCCCGGCTTGCACCATTTCCTCCACCACAAGTTGATGTGATCCTAGCCAGGAGACTAGGCCGATTAGAGAAATCCATGTAATCCTCTGTAGTGAACATTTGGGATTGTCTGACTTGAGAACTGCTTTTTTTCGAGCAGAGACTAAGGGATCCAAATGGCGTCCTTCCGTCCATCCTCCGTGACTGTACACAAATTTGAATGAAGTCTAATGTGAAATCTTACCTGCAAAAATCAATTAGGGTTGCTAACTTTCCAACCCTGCATCTGTTTGTAACCATACTTGATTGGTAGATGCCCTTTATTGGCCTCCATGATATTCTGGAGTTGAAGGTCACATAAGTAGGTCAAAGGTCAAATGAGGTTCATTGTTGCATGATTGCATGCAAGACTCTTAATCGCCTCGATTTAATTTGTCCATGTGGCATGTTTTTAGGCTATCTTGAGGATTGGTTGGAACTTAACATTTTGTGGTCCGGAGGTGAAAGATTGCATGGCTTAGCATTACGAGCATGTATTCTTGATATGTCAGAGACCCTTTGACAAAATACCACCAAACTTGATACTAGAGTGTCCCTGGGGATCATGGGGATGTGGTTATCTGGAGAAAAAAAATCACATAACACATGATATACATGTACCAGAAATAAATTGTTATTGTTGCTAGATTAGCCACCATGCTTGGCACTTGTATATTGTATTACAATAAGAGGTTGGCAAGTTTACAAATGGAAGAAATGTAGGAATATAAAAGACAAATTGTGACATCAGTGTATAAAAGCTCTATGTGATTTATACAATTCATAATTTGTGATAAAATCAGTGCTTGCTCATGTGGAAATGGTGGATATTTCAATTTGTATCTATTTGGCAACCTATATTCCTTGAAGAAGTTACGGTAGTAATTATAAAATTTACAGCCAAGAGGTCAAACCATGAGTCAACAATGTGTTTGGTTTTAGTGACTGTGCATGTAACTGAGGTGACAGTCGATCATGAAAAAGACTATACTTCGGAACCTGTTGAAAATCAACATGGACAGAAGAAAGATTTGTAGAATATCTTATTGTAAATAGTCTTCATTTTTTGTTTAATGGAATCAATGTGACTAAAATAATGCAAGCGAAAAAGAGAAATGATCACAAGACAGCAAAACAGTTGGTTTCATGCATCATTTGAATCAATGAACGTGAATCAGCTCAACGCCAAAGTATTGCGGTTCAAGGTTATACCATCAAGAGATATGCTGCCTGTAACTACTTTGTAGTTTGAAAGGGTGTATAAAGGAATAAGGATACAGTTGGGCAGGCGAGTCTTTCTGTTGGTCTATTGTAAAAAACTGGGTCAAATTTTTTCCAATTTTTTTGCAAATTGTAATAAAACTTGGTATACCGATTGACCCGAGGGTGTGCAAGACACATTTGTTGTGTCTGTCTGTTAAGGTACCTCCATGGTAACCAAGCTTTGCACAAAGAATACAATTTTGTTTTAATAATCTTGTGGAGCATATTCTTTCCAAGTTTTAGCAATTTTATAGTTTTGGTATCTTTGATGAGGCATTATAATAACAGTATAAAACTCAATGCATGTGCAGCAGGGCTCAAATTAATTTTTTGTCCACGGGGGCTCTTCCCCCCAAAAAGAGCCCCCGTGAGCCTTCTCACGGGGGCTCTTTTAGTACTGACGGGGGCTCTTTTTGTATACAAAAATCCATTGAATTGGTACCTATGATACTCCTTAATTATTTGCTATTTCATCATTATCATTTCAATCAGCATTTTCCCTCTTACAAATTTACAAGCTACATAGCTGTTACTGGCCTGTGTATATAATATATACCCATACAACACTGATCTTTATGATGTCTTTAACGTGACATATCTTCTTCTCCCCTTGCAAACGAGAAAGAAAACAAGGTCATTAAAAGGGATTAAGCGACAAATAATGATTGTGATTCAAATTGATGCGAATATTTGTTTGAATAAGCACTGCTATTCACCCGAATCTTCTTTGTAAAAACAACTTTTACAAATCTCAGCCATGCTTAATGAGTTGAGACGTTCCATTCAATGTAAAATACTCATTAAAGAATACACTTCTCCTAATCTGAAAGTGATCTTACAACACAGTGGCAGATTTGCATGGCTGAGATTTGTAAAAGTCGTTTTTACAAAGAAGAATCTGGTGAAAAGCATTGCTTATTCAAAAAAAAAATCCTTGCATCAATTTGAATCACAATGATTATTTGTCACATGATCCTTTTATTAAATAACCGTGTTGTCTTTTTTGTTTGCAGTGTTTGCACTGCGAGCTGAATCGGTAATAACTAGGCCTACTCATAAAACGAGAAATCTTGTTCCATTTCATTGGTTTAAGGTTTAAAAATTGAAACTCAATATTGTGTTAAAGTTATAACAGAAAAGATAATCTTTATTTTATAATTCCACGGGGGCGATTTTTAATTTTGCAATCGCCCCCGTGAGCAACCTGACGGGGGCGATTATGTAGCTCACGGGGGCGAATCGCCCACCGCCCCCGTGTATTTTGAGCGCTGATGTGCAGTGTGTAAAATAAGTATGTGAGCAAACTATTGGAAGTAGTTTGATCGATTCATATGAAACTCAGTACACACAACGCAGAATTGTCTTTTGTGTGCGTATAGGACATGACCAGTTTTGAAATGTCAGTGCTATTTTTTTGAAAAACCTTATGTTGGATGTTAATCACTTGAGGTGATATTCATAGTCGAGCATTAGGGAAGATGAAAGACATATATGTACCTAACTATACTTAATTTTGTGCTGAAACTGATATGATTCAGGATTTGAGATCGATATGGAGTATGTATACATGTATACTCGTACACATTAAGGAAAAGAATCACTCAGACAATTTTTAAAGCATTTATATATAAAGTAAGATGTGAAACTTAAAAGATAAAACCAGTTATGGTCATGCGACTGCATTGTGAAAGGATTGTTGTGGAATCGATCAGAAAAGGTTGATCATCTAGCATATAAGTCTTGGTGTGTACTGCAAGGTTCTAGAATCATCGAAATGATAAAAAAATTGGCCCAGTCTTGGTAAAGTTACAAGCACTGTACACAGAAAGATGTATATGGGACTATGCACAAGTGCGCGACACATGCGTTATATCTATCAAGTCCAAATAGATATAATAATTTACCAAATATATCAATTAGTAGGCAGTTTCTCGGCAAAATTTGTATGATCACGTACTAGTCAAAACATTGTGTGCGGGCAAGCACTGAATCAAATGACCGGGGTAATAGTATATTTGTCAAGCGCGTAGAAACATTACTGTTATAGATACTTTTCTTTGGTAAACTTATCTACACATTGCCTATAGAGTATGTCAAGTTTTTATGAAAGACACAAGATAAGATGTATATAAATAAGCAGTAACTAATAAGTAACAAGACATGGTGGTATACAAATAAAGTATATTGCTCCTTCTTAATGACGACGGTTAAAGTTGTCATAGCGATAGATGCTAAATAAAAATGTGCCTTTTTTAATACACATGATCTGTTTGTATGCAATGGTTGAAATCAACATCACGTTTAAATATTGCCTTCAGTTCAGCAATTATAATTTGTATTCATCTCAATAATGTTGTGTAAATTTAACTGTTAGTTATGGCCGAATAAAGCTTTCAATGTACACCATAAAAATATGTTATGTATCTTCATTTTAGCATTACTATAATTATATTAAAATCTTATGTCTTTACACATTTACAAGTTATCACGTACTGACGTAGGTCATGCAATACACAGGCACTGTAGAACACAACTTATTTACAAGAAGTTACAATCACTTTTTTTTTTAAACTTTACAATTGCATGCAGTACCAAAATAAGAATACTGAAAAACACTGCATTATGGACAAGTATGAATCAAGTAAGATGTTAAATTAATTCACTACTGTTATTCATTATAGTATACTGATACAACAATTTTTAATATTTGTTTTAATTTATTTCTTTTTATTTCTCCACTTTCCCTTTAGCCATGTACCTTCATGTTGTTATATATGTTAAAGGTGTCGCTCTGGACCTATAACATATGATAAGACAAAAAATCCACCAGTTATTTCTGATTTCTATCAAATTTTTAGATTTTGTGTTGTTGTTGTTGTTTGGTATTATCGGCGTTTCATTCTTTTTTAGAATATTTACGCCTTTCACTTTATTTCTTTTTTTTTCTTCTATTTTTGGTACTATTTGTCAATTCATATTCATCTCTTTTTTTTGGATAATATAATCTCAGATCTACTGGTCCATGAAAACCCCTCATCGCAATTGGCACCTTCCTGCCAGACCGGCGCGGTACATTGCGCAATCTTCTCGGCCATCATTGGCCTAGGCAACTCTGGTGCCGGTGAGAGGATTCTGGGGTAGATCTTTTGAGTCTCTTGTTTGGGGTTTACCGTCCTCAATCCGTCTTTACTCTTTCTTACCTTTTCTCTTCTAGTATTTTTCCATTTTGTAAAACCTTATTTTTCTATCAAAGTGGGTATCAACATCTTAGGGCATTTGGTTGTCGTGCGATATGTGCCAAAAAAAAAATGTGGATTTAGTAATTCCTTTTTTAATGAAACATGGATTTAGCTTCTTTTGGAATTGAATGGATTTAGCTCCTTTTGGAATGAAACTGTAATAATGTTGTTTACTTTCTTTTCGAAAGGTTATATTTATGTGTGATTTCACTATTATTATTTAAAAGGAAAGGTTTGCTGCTAAATTTGAATAAAATTTCAGTGACTTTATTGAGAAAATATGATTTATTTTTTATTTTTTAGGTACAATAACATGTTTCATTCCAAAAGGAGCTAAATCCACGAAAATAAAAAATCAAAAAATTTAGTAAACATCAGAAAAGCCGAAGGGAAGATTTTTTCTTATCATTATTGGCAGATAATCAGGTCCATGCAGGGTGACACCTTTAACATATATAACAACATGAAGGTATACATGGCTAAAGGGAAAGTGGAGAAATAAAAAAGGCAATTTACTCAGAAGTACCCAAAGTGGATTTGGCTCCTTTTGGAATGAAACTCTTCACATATTATAAAAGGAAGACAAGTAATATAAAAGGAAAAACGAAGGCCCACGTCATTTACATAGAAGGTAGGTGGACAGATAACCTCGATGTTTTTAATCTAATTTCATCTGGGAGATCATTCCACAGCTTTGTTCCTACAAACGAAATACAAAATTGCCCTTGCGTTGTCTCACATATTGGTTGATAGATAGAGTAAGCCACTTTCTTTACACTGTAGAAGTAATCAACTGGGTCATACGACGTACAATACATACACATACACTACTACTAGGTCGAGCGTACTCGCACTACATACACATACAGTATTCGCATATCGCGCTCAAAAACAATAGCGCTACCAGTACCACAGACCATGCAATTATGTGCAGGCCTCGCATACCATAATGTGTACAATATAAATCAATCAGCGCGCTATAGACATGGTTCGGATATTACTTGCACGCCCATATCCGATCGTCGTCTTGGCGAAAATTCACGGTGTGCTGCCGCTTGACCGAGAGGTGGCGCTATACAATTACACTGAACACGCCTCGAAAGTAATATTTTTGATAAATAAAATCATTTGCAGTCGAACAGGTTTTTTGCATATAAATTCACTCTAATGTAATATTTCGGATTTATATCTTCAATGATGCATTCTTAGACATTTATTGTATGTTTTTTATGTTTAGATCATAGTTTCGTTCGCTAATGTGAGTATTGACCAACACTCAACTATTCCTTTAAGTCAAAATACATGTTCCTGCTTAAATGTTGAGTGTGAACACATATTATGACTTTGCACACAGTTTTAGAAACTTGGAGAAGTGTGGGCACAGAAGTAATGAATAATGTAATCATGTTAAGCACATTCACAAGTAAATAGTTACGTATATAAATTACTAAATAAATAAAGGTAAAGTAAAATATATCAAAATTAAGATAAATAATATTCATGATGTTTCTTTAGTCATTATTCAACCTTATATTGAGATCAGAGTCCACAATAAGACAAAAACGAATCAAATGAAAGCAACTCGATTCACAAACCGAATGGCAATTCATTGTTTTGATGAATATATCCTACCCTTGTGCGCAAATCGATTCTGATTTTGCTGGTTTTATCGTTCTACTTTGATGATAAGATTTCAGATTTAGATTTAGATAATATTTTATTTATTTGACTCTATCGACCCCTTCAGGGGCATGAGAGCACAACATATTACAATAGAATACAGTAAGATATATAAAACAAAGTAAGATATGATAATCAAATACATAGACCTGATATATAAATTTTGATATTTCTAAAACACAATAAACATGAGCTAAAGACTATTAAGTGTACACTATACAGATTTAAGTTACACGTCTAAAATATCACGTGGTTTTA